CCATACACATTTTTTTTTGATTAATTGTTCTAGTTCTATTAAAAATGGCATTGCTGTTTTGACAGGGATTGAATTGAATTTGTAGATTTCTTTGAGTGGTATAGACATTTTAATAATAATAATAATTCCTACCCATGAGCACAAAAGATAGTTATTTGTATCTTCTTCAATTTCTTTCTTTAATGACTTATAATTTTCTAAGTACAGGTCTTTTATCTCCTTGGTTAAATTTATTCCTAGAATTTTAAAAATATGTTTTTATTGATTTTAGAGAGAGAGGAAAGAAGAGGGAGAGAGAAGGAGAGAAATATCGATGTGAGAAACATTGACTGGTCTCCGTAAGCAACCCAACCAGGGATCAAACCTGCAATTTGGGCATGTGCCTTGACCAGGAATCAAACCAATAACCTTTCAGTGCAGGGGATGATGCCCAACCAACTGAGCCATACCAGCCAGGCCTCTATTTTTTTTAAAGGGAATTCTTCAATATGCAACAACATGGGTAAGCCTGGAGTACATTATGCTAAGTGAAATAAGCCAGTCACCAAAGGGCAAATATTACATGATTCCACTGATATCTGGTATCTAAATGACTAAATCTATGGAAGCAGAGTCTAGAATGGTGATTGCTAGGGACTGGGGAGAGGGTAAAATAAGGGATTTTTGTCCATGGATTAAAATTTCAGTTATACAAGATGAGTCATTTCTAGATATCTGCTATACAATATTATGCCTATAGTTAACAATACTGTATTGTACATTTAAAAATTTGTAAAAGGGTAGATCTCATGTTAAATGTCCTTCCTACAATAAAAAAAATAGAAAATACATTTAGGATATGATGAAGCAGGTTGTTTAACGCTGTCAATCATCAAGTTATGGAATAATCTGCCAAAAGAAATGTGAAAATGCCACCATTTAAACCATTTGAAACCTGGCTGAAGAAAAGCACACACACACATAAAGTGACCTTGTTCTTCTCCCTACATGGGTGACAAAACCACACAAGCAGGAACTAAGACACGGGTGGATTCCACAGACATTCTCCAGACCGCCCACTAGTGTGAAGAAGAAAGAAGAAGATAGGGCTGGAATTGATGACTCACGTCAGGATGACTTGCTCAGCATGTTCCTGGCTCAGTTACAACTTCCTGAAGTCACCACACTCTCAGAAGTTTCCAGGGAACAGGAGGGCCATCTCCATTCTACCCTACATTTGGAATTGGCCTGTGTTTTGTTTTGTTTTAAATCAGAAACAACCAGTGTAGAAGACCAGACCACACAATCTATAAAGGGCAGACAGAACCTTAGACCAGGGGTCAGCAAACTATGGTCCAAGGCTTAAATCTGGCCCACAGCCTATTTCTCAATAAAGTTTTATTGGAACACATCCAAGGCCACACTCATTTGCATAGTGTCTATGGCTGCTTCCACAGTAAAAGCGCAGAATTAAGTAGTTGCAATGACTCATGGTCCACAAAACCTAAGATAATTTTATCCGGCCTTTTATAAGCTTGACCCCTGCCTTAGACTAATAATTTTAAGAGTAGTAATTCAAGCATTTCCAGGGGGAAATATGTAAAAATTATTGCTTTCTTCACATCTTTTAAGTTGTGGAATAGGAAAAAAAAATAATTTGAATAAAATATGGGAACTTTTTATGAATCTAGTCTAAGATAGCACATGACAGAGCCTGGAACACACATCTGTGACACTAAAGTAGTGTCAGGATTAATAATGAAAGCACTAGCTCTGCCCAGGTCACTCAGTTGGTTGGAGTGTCCTCCCATACACCAAGGACACATCTGTGACACTAAAGTAGTGTCATGATTAATAATGAAAGCACTAGCTCTGACCAGGTCACTCAGTTGTTTGGAGTGTCCTCCCATGCACCAAAAGGTTGTGGGTTTGATTCCAGGTCAGGACACCTATCTAGGTTGAGGGTTTGGTGTTTGTATGGGAGGCAACTGATCAATGTTTCTTTTATATCAATGTCTCTCTCTCTCTCTCGCTCTCGCTCTCTCTGTCAAAAAACATATCCTTGGGTGAGGATTAAAAAAAAAAAAGAATGAAAGCACTAGGATCACAAAGGCCCGAATGTGAATCCTGGATTTACTCTTTGCCAGCTCTGTAACCTTTGCCAAATTACCTAGTATTATCCAGCCCATAAGGCTCTTAAGAGGAATGAATGAATTACTTTAGGTAAAGCACTTAGCACAGTACCTGCTATATTAGTATGTGCTAAAAAAAACAACTACCTAGTTTTATGATTACTATGTAATCAAAAAACTAAACTTAACAAGATTGACGATGAAGATGACGAAATACAAATGCATTGCTTGTTAAGTATTACCTGCACAGTCTTCTCTGGCATCTCCACAGAGAAGGCCATCATTCTCAGGACTTCTGGTTGAGTTCCCATCTGCCACAACACAGTGGAGGATCACTAGACCTTCAAGTTTAAAACAGAACCAAAACAAACATGAAGACTTGAATATTTCCTCAGGTGAAATACTCTATCAAAATTATGACCCATTTATAAAAATAACAAGCCTGTGGCTTCCATTTCTAATTCATTATCCCACAGGGAGGGATGTGTACACAAGCCAGCATGTCTCTTTCTTTTAAGCTCAGTGCAGAAGACAGAATTTTCAAGCCAGCATAACTATGCACCTTAAGTAAGGAAACTTGACCATAATTTGTGATAGAAACTTATCATATAAATGGAAAATAGAGTTCTTAGCCACTGGATGAATTAATAAATGAGTTTTCAGGGAGAATGGGTGATGAACCATATGGCGATGTACTTTCTCCATTCCACACAGACCAAATGTTTCTCAAGTATTAACTATTAAGTTCCTTCCTCTTGGAAAGATGTGACCTAGACATGCAATTTATAGGAATTATTTTAAAACTTTGTTTACATGAAACAAATTGATAATTGTTGAAGCTGAGTGGTGGGTATATCAAGAGTCACTATGCTGTTCTCTCTACTTTTATATATATTTATGAAAATGTCTAAAATAAGAACTTGAGCAAGCTTTCAGTAAAGGTGGCAGTGTAGATAAACATGGTACTTGCATTCTCCCACAATCACATCAAAAATACAACTAAACTACAAAACAACAATCATTTAGAACCACCTGAAATCTAGTTGAACGGAAGTCCTATAATTAAGGATACAAAGAAGCCATATTAAGAATGGTAGAAAGAAAAAAAAATGAATGGTAGGGAGGCCAGGGCATAAAATGAGCTAGTCCCACTCACACATGTGGTGGATAAAAATTGAGAAGGATATCTCAGCTGTGGTGTTACCCCCTTAGGAACGAGAGATCCCAGCTGCACAACCAGGCTCCCAGCCCAGGGTTCCAGTGCTGGGAAAAGAGGTGCCAGTAACTTCTGGCTGTGAAATCAGTAGGGATAGTGGCTGAGTGAGAAGGCATTCCTCTGAAAGGGCCCACCCATGAACTTACTCAGACTTACTCACTCTGAGCTGCAGGTACAGCAACTTGAAAGGAACCAGGGACATACCATGATGAAATGAATTGCCTGGCATCTAGGTGTTGACAAAGGTCATTGCTCTTTTTTTGAGACACTCCCCACAGAGCCAGAAGGCAGGTGCCATATCTGAGTCTCCATCAATCTATCACTATTCACCCACTATTGTAATTCCAAGACCCTGTCCCAACAACTGGCACATCCAAGCTGATTCCAGTGGTTTTTCCATATAAATGGCCTGTCTTGGCTCATTCTTAAGACTCTTGAGAGATTTTTAAATCTCTCACACAAGCAGCAGCATCTGATCTCAGCACGCTCTGTACTCTCTCTAAGTAGCCTCAGGCCTGGCACTAGCAGCAGCCAGCCTTAGTTCTCAGGTTAGCCTTTCCTGAGCACCTCCAAGCCCAGCACAAATAACGGCCATCTGCAGATTGCTCAGTAGCTTGTGCCAGGTGGCCCCAGGCAGAACAGATGGTTGCTGACCTTAGCCTACACCTCCTGGAAGGCCCTGGAGCCAGCACACCCAATGGACAGCTTCAGACCACATCAAAGCACCACTTTCCAACCAGCTCCACAAACGACATACTCAAGGAGTACACTCAGCATGCACCAGACCCCTGCTGAAGTAAGTTCTGCTCCATGGGGCGGGCCCCTGCACAGCTGATCCTCCACGCTGGTCATAGCCAGTCCTTGCAGCTGATTGGCCTAGGGATAAATCCATCCCATTTATGTACCGACAGCAATCAAGGCTCAACTATAACAGGTGGGTGTACATAGACACACCTCAAGTACCCAGTTCTGGTGAATAGTGGAGGGTAGTGATGGAGCATCTAGGACAATTTCAAGTGTATCAACATTTCATCATGGGGCTGCTGGAAAGACAAGAGAGAGCAAGAAATTGATAACATATTTAATAAAATAATGAAGGAAAACTTCCCTAACTTGGTGAAGGAAATAGACCTACAAGTCCAGGAAACACAAAGAGTCTCAACAAGATGAACCAAAAGATACCCACACCAACATATATCATAATTAAAACATTAGAGACAAAGAGAGGATATTAAAAGCAGCAAGAGAAAAGCAGTTAGTTACCTATAAGGAAGCTCCTATAAGAATGTTAGCTGATTTCTTAACAGAAACATTGCAGGTCAGAAAGGACTGGCAAAAAAGCATTAAAAGTTATAAAAAACAAGGACGTACAGCCAAGATTGCTCTCTCCAGCAAAGCAATCATTTAGGACATATAAAGAGATTCCAAGATATAAAGAAGCTGAAGGAGTTCATCACCACCAAACCAGTATTACATGCAATGTTAAAGGGTCTTCTTTAAGAAGAAAAGAAATATATAAAAATATGAACAATAAAATGTCATTAAATACATATCTATCAACAATTGAGTCTAAAAATACAAAATAAACAAACAAGCAGAACAGAAACAGACTCATAGATACAAAGAACATTTTTATATTTTCCAGATGTGAAGGGGATTGGGGGGTTGAGTGAAAAAGGTGGAAGGGATTAAGAAGCACAAATTGGTAATAACAGAAAGTCATGGGGATATAAAGTATAGCATAAGGCATATCTACACTAATAAAAGAGAAAAATGGTAATTGGTGTACGACGCTACCCTTTTCATTCGCTAATCAGGGCTATATGCAAATTAACTGCCAACTCAGATGGCAGTTAACTGACAACAAAAATGGAGGGTAATTTGCATATGTAGGCACAATGCAGGGAGGCGAAAGGGACAGCAGGAAGAAGCCCCCTGCCACTGATAGTGATTGGAAACCCAGGGGGGAGCTAAGAGCTGGGGGGCAGGGCAAAGGCGGCCCCATGATCGGAGAATCAGGCGCCTTTGCTGCCCTGGCCAGTGATAGCAGGAAGTAGGGGTGGAGCCAGCAATGGGAGCTGGGCACGGTCGAAGCTGGCAGTCCCAGGAGCTAGGGGTCCCTTGCCTGGGCCTAAAGCGGAGCCCGCGATCGCGGGGCTGCTGCCACTGCGGGTCCCCGCTGCCCAGGCCGGACGCCTCGGCCAGAGGCATTAGGCCTGGGCAGGGGCGGAGCGGGAGATTGCGGGGAGCTGGGAGTCCCCTGCCCAGGCCTAACGCCTCAGCCAGAGGCCTCAGGCCTGGTCAAGGGGCCGATCCAATGATTGGTGATCGGAAGGCGATGAGGGTCAACTCCTCTGGTAGAGCCATCAGGCCTGGGCAGGGGGCTGGGGGTCCCCTTCCCAGGCCTGATGCCTGGGCAAGAGGCATCAGGCCTGGGTGGGGGGCAGAGCCAGGAATTGGGGGGATATGATGGTCCCCTTGCCCAGGCCTGAAGCCTGGGTCAGAGGCGTCAGGCTTGGGCGGGGGGTGGAGCAGGCAATCAGAGAGAGATGGGGGTCCCCTGCCCAGGCATGATTCCTGGGCCAGAGGCCTCAGGTCTGGGTGGGGGTCAGAGCCAGTGATCGGGGGGAGATGGGGGTCCCCTGTCCAAGCCTGACACCTCTGGCGGAGGCGTCAGGCCTGGGCAAGGGGCCGATCAGGCGATCGGAGGGTGATGGGGGTCAATGCCTGAGGGCTCCCAGTATGTGAGAGGGGACAGGCTGGGCTGAGGGACACTCCCCCCCACACACACCCAGTGCAAGAATTTCGTGCACCGGGCCCCTAGTAGTCAATAATATTCTAATAAATATGTATGATGCCAGATGGGTACGAGATTTATCAGGATAATGAATTAGTAAGATACATAATGTCTAATCACTGGGGTATATACCTGAAATGAATATAATATTGTATGTCCACTGTAGTTAACAATTCATATCAAACCTGGATTTTTCTGCTTCCACTGAAAAAGCAAAAAGTCTGGCAACATCACTCTGAAACTCCTTCATGGCAAAAAGGGCTGGATCTAAGTAGTAGGTGACACCTTTAAATGCCACAGACTCCAACAGGATTTCCACACTCATTTATTTGAGCTGCCTAGACCTGGACAGGAATTTCAGCTTGTAAACTGAAATGACTCAGAAATTAGATACATGCTCACAAAAACATCTAATCAATCCCGAAGGCTGCTTCAAAGAGGGTACTCCTGTTCCATCCAAAATTCAATACATATATTAAGCACTATGTGTTTGGCACAGCTGCAAGACACTGAAGATTTAAAGATAACAAATTATCACTAACCTCAAGGAGCTCACATTCTGATAATGAAGAAAGACACACAAATCTTTAAAGTGTAATAAGCACAACAGCAGAGGTAATAGAGGAATAACACAGGATGGGGAAGAAGCTCTTCCCGGCAGCAAAAACTTCACAGAGAGGGTGAGGATTTATGGCGAGTTTTTCAGGAGGGAATAACTATTTTTTAGCATTAGTTAATGACTTCTATAAAATAAAAATTGTGCAATCAAGAGAACATAATCATAGCATATTTATCTGTCTCAATAGTGGATAACCTTCACAAAAAATTGCCATAAAGTCAGGGCCAGGAACTTGCCCACATACACCATTGTGAGAAAACTCGTGATTAATCAGTGTCTATGCTGTGTCAATTCTTAAATGTTTTGATTATGACCCCATTAGTAACTATACTGGAAGTATGCGAGAAGAGAAACCTAACAAGTAAAGTCTAAACTAGACAAATCAAGAAATAGCATTACAAGTAAATTATTTAGCAAGACATAGGTGGACACAGAAGAAATACCTAAAAGAGTTGAAAATGGCTGCTTCTCAGGTAGAGAGGCAGGAAGGCAAGGTTCAGCCATCTGCTGTTGCTGCTATACACTTCTCAGCACTATATAATTTTTAAAAATTCATGTATATTTATTACACTATTAAAAATAAAGTGAATTTTTAAGAAAGGGATAAAATTTGTAATTAACTAAGAAATAGATAGATAGATAGATAGATAGATAGATAGATTTCAGAGAGGAAGGGAGAGGGAGAGATAGATAGAAACATCAATGAGGA